GCCCGGGCCTCTCCTCCCCCCCCCCCCCCCCCCCCCCGCATTTTCCCCGCGAGTTTCCTTTATTTTTTAAGCATACGTGCCCAAAATCTCAGCCTAGGTCTGACATGGACCACTGAGCACACGCACCTAATAAGCTGCAATGAAATAAACTTTAAAGGTCGGCGTTAACAAAAACTTAGGATGTAAAGCACTTACAAGTTCAGGGGAAATGCTTGCCCTGAATCTTGAGCTGGGTTTGCTAGCCCTTGTAATCAAACCCCACAGTCGAGTCAAGAAACCCATGTGGCTAGTTGCAGTCATCTTGGGAGCTTTACTAGCCCAAAAGAAAATTGCTGGCAAATTGGAAACAGCTGTAGCATTGGAGAAGGAAAAAAAAAAAAAAATCACCCCCCCGCCCCCAACACACTCAGAGCAGAGAAAGTTAGAGAACTTTTGTTTACACAAATAGCTCCAATGCAGACATGACATTTCAAGTTTTCATCAACAAACTGTAGGTGACTTGTATGTAAGCAACATTTCAACATTCATCACTGGCAGTGATTTTTTAAAGATGCCTATGAAATCTCTCCTGCTCGCACACAGGCGCTTCCAGCTCGCTCCCGTGGCAGCTGCTCTTGCCTGTGCCTATGCCCCCTTTAACAGGGTGCTAGCAACACAGTGACTTAAAACTCACAAAGAATTTTATCCAAGGGGGTGGGGGGGGAGCCTGACAAGTGCTCGATTCTCATAAGCCTGTCGGACAATTGCTAGAACAAATGAAACGGTGGAAAAGCTTGGAGTCCTGCAAAATGTGCTCTTTTCATGTTTTCTATTTATTAGATACGCTAAGAGAAAACAGACTCATATGAGTCCCAAATGTAGGCAGAGTATTAAAAGAGGCATGTGTATGCTCCAGCAATTACAGCTGAATTTGATTAAAAACGTCATGAGGACTGCAAAAGCAGGAGTTACCTGATACACTAACCCTGAGGTTGCTTTAGGATGAATTATAACACAATTCATTTTATTTTAATAGGTCACTATAAGATTAACTGTTTAAGGATGGAGCTGTGCTATAAATGTTTACATCAAACCAGAAATAAGCAAGCTTTACTTTCTGGTTGTTTAGAAATAATGTTTATTACATTTTAAAATTCCTCAACATGTTAATTAGAAATAAGGGGAAAGTATGTGAAGTCGAAAGGAGTTCCAGTGCTTGACATGTAACCACACACACACTTCTGTGCTTCAGTTTCTCTTTCCTAGGAGGAAAATGTGGTGATTTTTAACTGGCCATCATCATTTCCACATGCTATGGGAAAATAATGACAACAACTTTTTTTCCCCCTGCTCCTCTCACAGTCTTGGTCCAAAATTTGAAGGCACTTTGTAGCCTGGGCCCATGGTCAAGAAAACCAGCCAAAGCCTGGGGTGATGACTCTGTCCGGCTAAGCCCAGTGAAATCAGCCACCACAACAGCCAAATCTGTGTGTTTGGGAAGGCCAAATCTTGAAGACTCGTCTGTGACTGAGGGGCAAAATCTCACAGGCATGAAGGACTTCAACACACCTTGCCACTTTCTGTTCCCAAAGCAGGGACTGTATCTTTCAACTTGCTTTAGCTGGTACAAATGTATCTTGCAGATAGGTCTGAGAGACTGAATAAAAATAGCCTCATAAATTTCCCTCTCAAGAATGAAAGGATGAAACAGAGAACTACCATGGAGAGATATTAATCTGATTTTTCATCTGGTGTACTGCTGGGTAGTTTTTGGATGAGATAAGAAGCCCTCTGTGGCTGCAATTTTTTTTTTTTCCTGTGCTATCTTTAAGCAACATCTAATACAATAGGTACTTGTGCACAGCTGGAACTCTAAGGAGCAGTTGAATATAATTATCATTAGTCATAATAGTACCATATTTCTGAAATTAAAATATTAATTCTATAGGAAATTCCTACCTGTTAAAATTTATTTTCATTTAGAATCGACAAGAAGGGCAAATCTAGATTTTTAGCATGAAAAGAAATTTCTGTAATGTTTTCTTCAAGGAAAACTGAAGCAATCATCTCAAAAAGGTTTCATACAGAGGAATCAGAAAGACCTATTTCAGTAAAGATAGGCTGTTTCATTTTCACTAGTCAATGTAACTAAAAGCACTTTGATAAATTCCACTGAAAATCAGCAAAACTGCTGCAAATGTTTTTGGGAAAAACATTTAAGCTTTGCTAAATCACTCTCTACCATGAAAAACACCTTTGAAATAGAATATGTTTCACCCTGGTCTAATATTAACGATGAATGTCATTAGTATATTAAAATAAATAATCATAAATTATTGATAAAATCATTATCACAACAAAAGAAAAGCTTTAGTTACAGAGATAAAATGAGGGGATAGGAAAAAGGAATTGCTGTAATTGTCAGATTCCATATTATTCTTGAAAAAGGAATGTTAGGTGAAGGTTCATGTATGTCCCAGGAATTATAAATCCTGCTTAACGGGAACAAGAATCTTTCACTTTTGCTGAACTGTCTTGATTTGAGGACATGTTCCTGTTTAGACTATTTATTTTGACTAGTGTTCATTGTGAAGTTAGAAAAAGTGTGGGTTTTGGTTTTGTTTTTAAAGACATGATCATTTACAAAACATTGGTGTTTCCACTCCCCTTTGTTTATAAACATTTGAGGAAATTATTTACTATCCATAGGATGTCATGTAACATTCCTGTTAAACCAGTTTTAGTTTGTGACTGGACTCATGTGTTTCTCAGTTCATGTGTTCTGTTTTACCTTAGTTTTCTTACTAGACCTTAGAGAGATCCTCCTGCAGGGTAGGTTAGACAGAATATGAATGTTATAATGAAAGACGTTTCCTGACCCAAATATAGCTTAACAGACGAAAGGGCAGGAAGGAAAGTTTAAGGACGGGGTGGTAAGACCTTAGGCCCCATGAGAGCATCTTGGTGGCAGAAGCAGGACAGAAATCATTGTCGTCTGCTCTCCCGGCACCTCACTGCTGTAGATGTGCCCCCGGTGATGCCTTTTCTTACCGGCATTTTTCGCTCAGCCCTTTCAACGTTCGTTTGGTGACAAAACACCTGTCGGCCATGCCACCCTGCTGCACCTGCAGAGGCTTACCTGAGCCTTGAGAAGAGAGGGGTCTGTGCTGCGGGGGACCCTGCAGCCCTTGGGGGGGTGAGGGGAGAGGGAATGGGGCCGTGAGGGGGGGATTTCTGCGGCTGTCTCCATGCCAGACAAAATGGCGGGATGTGTCATGAGGAGAATCCCGCCCTGTCAGTCTCAGCCGGTCAGGGGACAGCACCCACAGCGATTGGCTGTTCTCCCCCAGAGGGCGGGTCAAGGGCCACGGGCAGCCAATGGAAAGTGCGGGGCACCTCACACCTCTCCACAGGGGCAGTGAAATGGCCGTCGTGCCGTTCCCCTGAGCCGCCATGGTGGCCGTGGCACTCAGCACGTTCCTCCCCCAAATCCCTGT